ACCCAACTATATATTATCTATAAAAAACTCACTGAAAATATCATATGTATAGAAAGTAAAAGGATGGAAAAAAATATACCATGCAAACATGAATCAAAAGAAAGCCAGAAACTATATTAATATTAGAGAGTGCAGACAGAAGAGCAAACAAAATTACCAAAGACGGGGAAGGGCATTCATTACATGATAATAAATTCACTAAGATATAGCGATCCTAAATATATATGCACCTAACAACAGAGCATCAAAATGCATAAGAGAAAACTGATAGAACTGAGAGGAGAAATGGACAAATCTGCAATTACAGTTAGAAGACTTCTACAGCTCTCTCTAAACAATTGATAAAACTACTAGGCAGAAATCAGCATGGATATGGAGGAACATCATCAACCAAAAGGACCCAACAACAGCAGAATACACATTCATTTCAAGTGCCCATGAAACATTCGCCAAGATAAACCATATTGTGGGACATAAAACAAAACCTTGACGAATATAAAATAACCGACATCATGCAGACTACAGTTCTGAAAAAAATGGACTCGAATTAGAAATCAATAACAAAGAGAGCAGGAAAGTCTCCAAATGCTTGGAAACAAAACACACTTCTAAATAATCCATAAGTGAAAAAGGAAGTCTCAAGGGAAATAATATAAGAAAATGACAATAAACATATCAAAATCAATGGGATATTTTTAAAGCAGTGTTAAAAGGAAAATTTATAGTACGAAAAATTCTTATATTAGAAAAGAGGAAAAGTCTGAAAAAGCCTAAGCACCCACCCTCAAGAATTTAGAAAAAGAACAAAATAGACCTAAAACTAGAAGAAGAAAATAACGAAAGTAAGAGCAGAAATCAAAAGACTCGAAAAGAGAAAACAGATTTTACTGATTTATGGAATAATTTTAGCAACACAATAAATTATCTAGAATTAGATTATAAACCAAAGTATAAAATAAATATACGAATCCATACTGATATAATTAAGTTATTAAATAATTTTTAAAATGAAGGAAGCATCCAAGGAGATTCTTATAATTGCTTAATTTGGGGAAACAATCAGATTATCTAATATAAAGCTCTTAGCACACAAAATTTCAATAAATGGTAGTAGCTATGAGAGGTAGGTATGATAATGTTCATGTTATGATGACAAATCAAATTATTTCAGAGAGATGAAATAAGCCAGCAGAGCTAAATAGGGAATCGATCTCTTCTAATGCCAAGGCTAGTTTTGTTCTACAATATCTGGTTCTCTCTTTTGTAACAGAAGGTAAAATATAAATGAAAAAAATTGTTCCCATTAGATTTCCTAACCCTTGCAACAAAAGATTGCTTTTCTGACTGACCTGGATGCAGCAGGCCTTAACACCCAAAGCTCTTGAGTCACTTTATGTTTTAGGACTTGCTGTCCTAAATAGGAAAATAGCAAGGTTTCTTTTCCCACCATTTTGTAGTCAAAGCCTCTTTTGGATAGGTGGGAAATTTGTTCTGCTCCTGTTTATGTGCCTTTTATTCCATAAGTTTTTCTGTATGACACAGACATATTTAAATATATTATGATATTCTACTGAGCCCAGAAAGATCCCTGGCAAATGATGGAAATGAAAAGTGACCTCTGAGAAAGGGAGAGAAAAATGCTTTCTCTGACTAATACCCTAAAGCAATGACCCCAACCCCCATCCCCACCTTGTATGGGGGCAGGTAGAATCTGTGACTTGCTTTTAACCAATAGAATATGGCAAATGTGATGGGATGTCACTCCCCTGATTGTATTATGTAAGTCTCAGTCTTAACACACTGGAGAAAAACACTCTCCCGCTGCTGGCTTTGAAAAAGTAAGCTGCCATGTTTTGAGACAATCTACAGAGAAACCGCATGGCAAGGAACTATAAGCAGCCTGTTAGAGTGGAAGATGGTCTTCCATTAAAAGCCAGTAATAAACCAGGGACCTCAGTCCTCCAGCTGCAAGGAGATGAATTCTGCCAACAACCTCAATGAGCTTGAAAGCAAATTCTTCCCTAGTTGAACCTCTGGATGAGAACACAGCTCAGTCAGCATACTGATTATAGCTTTGAAAGACCCCAAAAAGAGAATTTAGTCACATTGTGCCCAGACTCCTGACCTACAGAAACTGAGATAACATAAGTATGCTGCTTTAAGCCACTAGTTTTGTGATAATTTGTTACGCAGCAATAGTTAACTAATACACTCTCTTTTCCTTTGCAGCCAAGGAAATCTACTCATAGTAGAAGTGAAAATACATAGGTCAATTTCTCATATTTAATTTTCACAGAGGAAAGTCTGTAGGATTCACTAAACCAATACCAAGTCCATCTGCAATTCTGGCACTTTGCTGCCCCTGGGGCAGATGACCAGCCTCACCAGGAGTGACACATTCTTCTTGGTCTGGCAGTGCTCTGAAGGCTGTGAGGATCTATCAGGGCCCAGATCTCCAATTTGATCCTTCCTTTCTCCATCCACAACCATTCCTGCACTGCCCTGTGTGGGGGCAGTTAGAACCTGTGCAGTGGTTCTTGCACTGCCTATCCTTTCCTGCACTGTCTCCTACCTACCAACTTAGCTCTTTACAATCAAAGGCCAGATCTTTGAGTCCTTCCCAACTCCCCAAGTCTGGTTCCCTTTTACTTCTTGGCTAAGGGGAGGCTTTATATTCTAAAGCCAGGAACGTAAGGGTCATCGCCAAAGTGAAATCACAGTGTGAAGACTACTGTTTTCCCAAAGGGAAAAGAAAATAGATTTTTTTCTTGAAAAACAAACAAACAAAAAAATTTATCAGAAAATAAGCCTATCCATTGGCACATGGTTTACTCCTCACACCTCCAAGATCTGGGTATTGTAGGTATGTAGGCAGATGGCAGCTGTCTATTTTTTTAAGTCTAAAAATTGAGTATCTGATCTCACCTCAGCAGATTTCTTGTGTTCATTTTGAATTTTTGACTTGCTCCTATACATTGAGCCGGAAGTAAAGGAAGTGGAAGGACCTGCAAAAGATAATTAGAAAAATATACTGAAACTTATTACCTGCTAATATAACCGTCATATAACTAAATGTCATCCAAGAGAATATGAAAGATATGATGGAGAAGAACAGTGATCTCATACCACTGAAGAAAGTTAAATTACAACCAAGAAAGCCTTATAATGGAGTTTAATGACATTTATAGGTGACCCACCCCCAGCATGTAGAAGTTTCAACAATGCTAATGCTGAGGAGATTTGACTTGGTATAATCATACCTCATAACATTCTGGAATAACACAATTCATGTTCCACCCAGAGGAAAAGTATCTGCAAAAGCAACTAGAAAACTAAAAGTGTAGATAAGTAATCTGTATATCCTTCAGCACTTCCCCAAATGCTATTGTTAATAAGGTTGTTGACTTTTACAAATGATGAGTCATCTAGTCAGGCATTTAGTACCTGAGCTACAATTAGAATTGTAGGGCCTATAATTTATGCTCTCGTACTTTTCTTCCTTTCTAGAAAAGCACTGTTAAATCGTTATTAGATTTGTCATTTGCTGTTTAGGTAAGGGAAAAGTGAAAAACAAAATGCTATATGCCACATAAAACCAATTCTCCCACCTAACTTGCCTATTTCTAATGAAATTTAAATGAATAAGAAAAATGGTACCCCAAGCTTTCCTTTCTAAAAACATTATTTTTTAACCATTGAAAGAAGCATGAAACAGCTTGTCCTCAAGTCAAACAAGAAATCTTCAAAGAGTATAGATATGGAAGCTACCAGTTGTTAGCTGGTTCTACTCACTCTCATCTGAACTGTCACTGCTGCTGAGAGTTCTATGGCGTTTCATTCTGGAGCATCCTGGGAAAGAGAACAACACTGAATGAAATAGTCAACATACACACACCCACCCCAGAGGACAGTCAACACTGTCCTACAGATCCCAAGAAGGAGCAGCAGGCCAATCACACAAATCAAATGATTTGTCAAGAATATTGTCAAATGACCTAGGTAGGAGAAAAGCACTACCAAATTTTCCAATACAGTGTGTGTCAAAGACTCGGTGAGGCCACATTACATTAGCCTTAGGAGGAAGCCCACACAGCAGAGGATGAATGGTACAGGATTGGCAGGAGCCTCAGATGTGGCCATGTGAAGAATGGCCACCCAAACAAAGCGGGGCAGCCATAGGGCCATCACCAGCTAAGAATCCTGAATAAAAGAGGAGCAGGAAAGAAAAAAGTAGTAGCGAAAGCAGAGCTGTCAAGGGCCAAGTTTGAAAAGCATGAGACATGGTTGGTTGAAGGAAGAATAAGTGAGGCATGTCCCACCCTTAAGAGCACAACTGCACTTTTCTGCCTGCCCTTTTTCCCTCTTTCTCACTTTATCCTTTTCTCCATCTCCAAAACAATTAATCAAATTTAAAATTATATCTATATATACACTGCAAGAAATGTTATAAAAAGCTCCTATAGTGTTGAAATACATAATGCTTTTGACTAAAACTTTAAATGGTTCAAGTGTCCTTCTTTGTGTGTGTGTGGCCAATTACAGGTAAAAGAGAGGCACCACTTTTCTGGGAATACACCAGCACTAGAGTGTAGGAAAAAAAGGAAGACACAGTTAGATATTTCAAGTCACAAAGGAAGTGATGAAAACAAACTAGAAAAGTCAGTGATACAGTCAGTAACTGACATTCTGTTACGTGCCACGGGATAGAAATTGCTGTTAGGGGCAATCTTGATTCCACAAGGGATAAAGGTCAGAGCTTCTGTCTCCAAGCCACTCACAATTTACCAAAGAGATAGAAATCCAAGCACAGGGTCACTGTGAGCAATTAGGAGTGACAAAAACAAAATTTCATGTTAAAAAGCTTAGAGTTCTACTCTTGGCATGATAATGTGAAGAGCTACATGGACCCACTCTCCAGTAAAACTGGTGAAAAATTTAAAAAGAAACAAAAAAATCACTCATTTAAAATTTCTGGAAATGGCCCTAAGGGCATACAGCAAATTAAGAAGCATTTATTAAAAGAAATCTACTAAAACTCAGTAAGTAAAGTAAGAGTCCGCAGTATTTGGACCTAGACCCACTCCCTCCATCCCCCCTCCCAGAACAGATGTCACACCAGACTGGTGCAGTGGAAAACAGAGCTTCCTTTCCCCCAGTTCCCAGCTGCAAGGCTTTCTTCCTGAGAGGGACAGGGCACCATTGTTTCTCATCCTGCTCCCAGCTACCTGTTGCTGAGGCTAAGTTTGGATGAGTGGTGGGAGCTCCCTTCTTTCAGGTGGCCCCCACTTCTTGGGTGGAGGTGTGGTGCTACCAAGAACACTGAGGCCCCAATTGCTTTGGTCCCAGCTCATGGAATGGGGGTTCTACGTCAGGAGAGGCAAACCTAGGAGACCTGGGGTTGCCACTCAGAGGGAAGCACATCACTGTCCCCACCTCCTGTACTAGAGTTGTGCCTAGCAGAGATTCTGCCTAGCAGAAGTGTTCCATAGAATAGAGAGTTCCAAATCTCGCCCAATGGAACTGACTTCATTTGCAACAGAGTGCAGAGAAGTGGTTCATGCCTAGGTTGGCTAGCATGCTGGAGAGAACCAGGGAAAGA